TTGGTTTGTATTGAGCCCTAAGCCAGGTGTGACTAACTTCTCCACCAGGAGTGCTTGCTGTTGCCAAGGGCTCTGATTTGACCAATGTCTTTCACTGAGATGACTCCACTGTCATCTAAGCAGATGAGTCAGATAACCTCTGTCTGAGCCCAGCAAATAGAGGCCTTGCAACTGGAAATGAGATGAGGCATCAGTAATATTATTATACCAAGCACGTACTTAGCTCCAGAATTGATATTGTAAGTCAAACAGAGAGTTTCATCAGATTCATTACCAATCCTGTTTTGCTGATTGCTCTTTAACAATCTCTACCCACAGTCCTATTATCTCAATGAAACAGTACACTCTTGTTTGCAAAGCAAGTTCTCTAAATAGTAATTGCTGCAAGAAGTGCTGCAGTGCAGGCTGGATCTATAAAGCCACTAATTGAACTAGCTTTGGGGCACAACAAGTGACATCTTGGTCTGAACTTGCCAAGGTCTTTCTCTGATCTGGCCTAGAAGGAAGATGTAAGGATCCTACAAGAAAGAAAAGGATTTAACTAAGTGGAAATGCTGCATCCTTTCCACTCTGAAGTTAGTATCATTACTGGTTTCATTCAGCCACTACAGCATGTATGGATTTTTTAATATATGGAAAAGTTGAATATTCAGGGAGCAGATACTGCATATCAAACATGCTTTTAACTCATGAGATAGAAGCTTCTTGATTTGCATTGAATGTATGTTAAAACTAATGTTGAAATCAACTTTGAGAATTTTTTTTGGTGTAACCAAGCTAACACAGGGGTCAGCCTGTCTTTCCAGTATTTGATTTCTCTCCAAAAGGAGAAAATACACATCTTCCCTTGCAGCTATTAGCTGATACAGAGCAGAAGTTCAATTTCTCTTATTCAGAGGAGTCTGAGGACTGCATTTAAGTCTAATGCCGAGAAGGTGCAGAAATAGTGATGATGTGATGTGACATGGTATGACATATGATTAGACATATGATATAGTGAGCCAATGTGTATCAATTTCAGTGTTGGTAGGAAAATAAAAACTATAGTTATTCATTGAATTTAGGTGACCAGAAATACTCATTTTTAAAATGAATGAATGTTCCCCTGCCTCATGCTTATTTCTAAGGGCCACATGCCTACAGCAGCAGACCTGCATTGTCATATTCCTGGGAGGTGAATCCCAAATACATCACCTAATGCTCTTTTACTTCCATATCCATATGCAGCATGAGGCTCAGCTACCTGAGAGCAACTCACTGTGAGTGCAAGAGCCCTAGAGCTGCATCTGCTTGTTTTCTACTCCTAGTAGTCTAGAGTTTGTGTTTAGAGTCTAAGAGAATGATAACACATCCAAGATGGTCCTCCCATCCAGATGTTCCACAATACAGTGCATCTTACCTAGGATTCTGCAGTGGTGGCTACTCATTTCAGCTGGTTTGGAGTATCCCTATGTAGATAACTCACTGAAAAGCTAGGTGTCAAATGTCTTTTAGACTAGGACTTCTCAATCAAGGAGTCTTTTGTTGAGCTTTTAGGAGGATTCTGAGACTGAATTTATTTGGTAGAAGGCTTTGTCTCTGTTTCTCCAAGCACTTACCTGTAAGGGAGCATTTTCAAATTACGAAAAAATGCTGCTTTTGCAGTTGAAGACATCCTGTTGCTGCATTTAGAGTAAGTCAGGCAGTTCTGAAATGAAAACTGGTCACACCTTTGTGAACACTAATGCTAAGTTGCATTTTTGGTGCATATGAGTTTGGCAGCTGCCAGCAGTTTCCACGCTAGTCAACTCCTTGCAGCAATAAAACCTGATTGCTGTCTACAGAGATGCCATTTCATCCTTCCCTGCTGTACAGCTGCCTCCCTGCCTTGCTGAGGGCTTTGAGTAATTACAAAATGTGAGTCTCAGCTACATCTGTATACAAGTTTGTTACAGCTCAGGGCCAGCAAACTCAAGCAGTGACAGTCACCAGCATCAGGATAACCAGAATCCAGACTTGCCATACGTCTCCTGTGTTTAATGAAGCACTTTTGTTTCCCCATCCTAAGCAATAGCTTATTGTACAACTGCATCAAAGTCCACATCTAACTGATATTGGGTCCCTTTCCTCAAATCAGTAGTAATATTTTGTTCAATTATTTGAATAGGAACAGAATCAAATCCTTGGAACAGAAAGCATCAAGTTTGTTCATCACTAAGGAAGCCACAATACTCAGTAAATAGGAATTGGTAATGTAAGAAGCAGAGTGGTTGTTGAGAGAACATTAATGTGTAATTATTGTGCTCTGTCTTTTCATGGAACTTAGCATTGGATCTCAGTGCATTGGGGTAGTTGTTTATTCTAAACCCCTCTCTAATATTCCATGTAACTTCAATTAGCCAGTGTTAAAAGGGACATAGTAGAATTCCCCTATCTCACTGTACTGCATAACTCAGTACTTTTACAATCTTAAGATGCTCAAATATTGTGGTACTAAGATCATAATAATTGTTTGCAGTCACAAAGATAATAGAAGTGAGGATCATTATATAAAATCCACATTTTTATTGTTTGCGTGCATGTTACAAAGCTTATATTGGTCCTCACAGAGAGTCATTTATGCACATAACCTAAATCTAAATTTCTCTGGGTTTGCACTTCGCAAGTGGTCAATGAGAATGGATAATGAGGCTGGTAGGCAAATATGTGAGAATGTGAGCTTTGTGTCAATGCTTAAATTAAATATCTTATGAAGCAAATATGGCATACTAGAGGACATACTTACACAAAGTAATCCTGAGGGATATGACTGGATTTACTGAAAAAATAGGAACTTTAAGAGAAGCTGAAAGTGCTGAGTTTTGTCATGTGACATACTATTCTTTATGTCAAAGACATTTCTTTCTCTATATAGCATTTTCATAATAATCATTGCTGGGAAACCTGAATCCTTTAAGAAAAAGTAAAGTGCTGAGTACATTGCATAATTTTTTTCCACATCAATTTTTTGTTTTCCTTTATCTCTGCTAAAAATTTCTTCCTGCCAAAGGCAGGAGAGATTGCCACCCAGGAGTTTGTTAATTTTCCCCAGTCTGCTTCAGAGCAAGAATTAATTGCTACTTCATCCTCTGCCTTGTTAAATTTCAGATTTGTCAATGTCATTTTTTTGTACTTATTCTATAATATACTACTTATTTATTTTTTTATATTCCTTAAAAATATGCAGTCTCTGTTTCAACGTGATAGCTAATATAAACTACTTTGGCCTAATGGGAAAAGGTATGAGCTCAGAGAAAATAATCAGACACTAAATTTGGTTAATTAAAGAGGAGATACTTGGTGGTATTTATTTAGAATATCCTGATATTTCACATCAGAGTTTTCAAAAGTGTTTTTCTTAAAACCTGTGAATCTTTATAATGTTGAAGTGTTGCAGGTTAGAAAAAACTGTCCATAGTCTTCACTAGTAAAACATCTTTCTAAATCAGTCAGTGCTGGCTAGGAATTCTCATTGTAAAAGCTTGTCTTAGGTATTATTTAAGTTTTGCCTTATGGAATTTGTCAGTATATACTGATACAAGCTTTGCAATGGTCTAGTATTTGGAAAGGGTATCTGTTTTCACTGAGAAAAGTCACTACATTATATATTTCAAAACAGTAAAATATTTGACCCTGAAAAACAGGTTCCATAAAAAGCTGTTCTAAAAGCCGCTTTCCTGAAGCAAATCTGGCTGAGGAAGAATTGTGGTTGTACTCTCCAGTGGAGTGAATGAACATTTTTCACCTTATGGAATTTAAACAAAACTTGTTTCTCTGTCTCCTTTCAGGCCTGCTAAAAAAATAACTAAGATTTTTCATGGAAGCCTGGTTTGATATGTTACTTAGCATTACATATATAATCTGATTAGTCAGAACATACATTTGAAAGCAATTACCATCTCTTCAATTAAAACTTCATCAGTGGCAAGCATAATTCATTAGATGAACAATTTATTAATGGTGGTAATGGTGGCCTGTTATGTATCTCTTCTGCTTGCATGGAAAATTACCTGAAAACTGTTAGCCCTTCCATCTGCTCCATGTAGTTTGCAGCAGTTGTCTTGAAATATTTTGATGTAGCCAAGCTTGAAGGCTGCTTTTTTTTTTCTTTTTTTTTTCTTTTTTTTTTTTTCAAATTTTCTGTCACTCTTTATGTCAGGGAAAGGGGTGAATCCTTTACAAATTAACTAAATACCTGTGAAATACTTTACATCTGAAGCCTACAAACCCTCAGATGTACTTACTGAAGTAATTCCTCACTCACTTTTCACATTATCAGTTCTGTGATAATGATGAAAGGAAGTAAAAAGAAAGAAGAGAATTATCAGCTGGAAAGAATAATTGGTCTGAAAGCAGGAGGGACTGATGAAGAAAGGATGAGGAAACTGAGTAGCAGGTGATAGAGAAAAAGATACATGATAATGAGATATAGAGCCTTGACCTACAATTAAAGGAGAAAAAATCTAAACCAATGAATGAAAAACTTAATTAAAAAGAAGTAATTGCCAAAAATGAAAGCAAATTAAAATTCCTTTTTGCCTGTTTTGTAGGTTTATATTACTGATAGAATGAACCCTCAGATGTTAATGTAAGGCTTTTTTATGTGAGTACTCATATGTGAAAGTTTATTGGTCATTACATTTTTAGAAGGCAAGTACAAAATCTGTTTTAGCACAGCCAATACAAATGCACTTCTTTTTAATTTAATGACTCTAAAACTGTTTTTCCACTCTATACCCTCCCCCCACCCTCATTAAAAAAAAGCAACCAAGTTTGTTAACTTCATGAAACCTGCAGTTTCTACAGCAAATTACTCCTGGAAAGTAATAAGGAATTCTCAACATTTTAAATGCGTTACTATTTGTATATTTATCAGTAGACTCGAGGCAAGCAGCTCTGAAAGTGTTTAATTGATGAAAAGAACACAAAATAAATACAGCAACAATAGTAAATTTTGCATAATTCTCACATCTTCTCCTCAGACTGGAATGGGACACCTGCGTGTTACAAAAGAAGGCCTTCGACTGGAAGGGGAATCTGAATTCCTGTTCCCTCTTTATGCCAAAGAAATCCATTCGAGAGTGGTAAGTGGGGAATCTCGCAATAATGCTAAATAAAATTAATGCACTTCTGAATAATTGAATTTTCCATGATTTCTGTATACATGTGTATATGTATACACACATATTTCTGCACACTTTGCAAGGTCAGTGTTATGAACCTTTGTCAAAATTAAAATTTATCTCTTAGGTATTTGATAAGCAGCTCAAACAGGAATTATAATTGTTATCTTAGTAAGTCATGCTAAAACTTAAGGAGTGTATAGAAAGGTTTTTCATTATTTTTACTGAGATTATTTTTTAATATAGTCTTCCCTGGGAAACAGTCTGTTTTGTTTATTCATCCACTACAGAATAGTTTCAGTATCTCTAAGATTAGTGGATCCCAATAGAAAGTTGTGATTTCTCTAAAATATATAGGTTTTTCACTTCAAGGACAATGCCATGAAATGTCTGGAATGTTTATTTATTCATGTATATAAAATTTGCAAGTCTAAATGGAAAGACTTAGTATTTAATCTGGTTTACCTAGACAGAAAAGTTTGTTCTTGTTATTACTAGTGAGGTAAAAAGGAATACCATACTTGGTCAAATATTTATCAAAATGATTAAAATGTCACCGAGAATTGGAAAGGTATGGAAGTTGTGGGTTTAGAAAAAGGAAGTGAGAATCTGATCTGGATTTTATCCAGGGGGACTCTGAAACTTATTCCAGTGAATTTTTTGTAGAGAAATGTCTGCTTCTGGCCGATTAAAGAAATATTTTTCAGAACTATTGTCCATAGTCCAATGTCTCACAAAATAAAGTTTTATGTTTTGTAAATATTATCATCAACCAATGGGACATTTTGGTGAATAAAGTACTATTCAGTGGCAGTAAAAGCCAAATATGGCTCTTTCATGTCTTCAAACATGTAATTGAGAAGAAATAACCAGCCATGAGACTTTTCTAAATCTAGGAAAAACGTTAGTTTTTGTATTGCTATAGCAAGAGAAAACGAAAATAAATTTACCAGAATGAGGTTGTTAACATGCTGGATTACTAAAATTTAAGCATTGCCAACATATTTTACTTAAATTGAGCTTTTCTTTTTCTCTCCTTCTGCAACAAGTATTTCCAGTTTTAGGAACAGCTCTTAATTAAGACAGTGAAATTCCATTACTACATCTGTATTTCCATTTAGCTTCTTGTGTTATATTCTTTTCTGCCTCACAGGCAGTGAGAAAACTATTTATGTGCTTTGGTGAATTTCCCTGGAGGTTGTTTATCCAGTAAGACATGTAACTTTTTAAGACCAGCACAGCTAATGTTTAAGAACTCCCTGTTGTCCCAAAGATCGTTATGCAGTGTTAAGCTACCATTTGTGCTCTCTTAATATTCCTTTCAGCTCTTAGTACATTTAGTACAATATAGGAAAAAGAGGTGTGGCAGCATCTAATATAAACTTAGCTGTCCAATGACCCATCATGGTCATTAGTAGCATGCATTAATTAGAGCCTTCAGGCTACTGCTTCTCTCTGCCTACTGAAAATTCATCAGTTTTTTGTTTGTATCCTTGCTTTTTTAAATATTTGAACTCTCTAAAGGCTTAATTGCCTGCAACTTGGTCTCCTGAGTTGCCATTTATGTGTTTATTCTCCTAACGTTACTTATTTGTTAAGCTTTCTTTTTCTAAGTTTGTCTTGGAGAACCAGGCCCCTCTCAGCTTTCAAAGCAGCTTTCTCTCTGGCCTTAATAGTTTTCTCCTTGCAGTCTCCTAACAGATTTTCTCACCTAATGAGGTCTCCAAAGTGCTAAGAAAATATGTAGAAGAAAATCTACGTGCTGTGCATTGTCTCTGAAGCCTATTACAAGTTTGTGCCTTCATTATGAGTCCAGCGCAGAGCTGTGGGCAGGACCATTGCACCTTTGCTAAAGCATCTTCATGGAAAGATAAAAGATGAGCATTTTTAAATATGTTACTAGATTTTAATTAGTCAAAACCACACATGTGGCAGCAGCAGGTCTAGAGTACAGTTTATTCACGCTTTCGTTTGATATCACAAATTAATAAATTATTTTTTTAATCAACCAGTGGCAATCAAATAAAAGTAAATAAAGAAGCCCAGATTTGTGGGTCATTTGGCAGATTTACTTAAATGCACTGTATTTACCCAATCCCCAGTCTTTGTTGACCTTCCTTTTCCACTTCATACTAACTTATTACCATTAATGTTCATTCTAACACATGGATTACTTTTACCCTAAGACTTTTCATTATTTGTGTTAATTCTGTGAGCTTTCACGTTTTCCTGATATAATTTAAAAAGTGTGATTCATTTATTTTTCTCACTTAATGACTTCTTTTGAGAGAGCATTTCTACCTACTTGTACTACCGTTTCTTTTAAAAAAAAGTCTGAGTCCAAATAGTGTATTGCTTCTATTTTATCACTTTTTAATCAGGTTTGTGGTTCTGTTACTAAATAAGTGTTTGTAGTAAAATTCATCACATAAAAAGTGTTTAAAACTATCAGGTTGTCTTATACTCTCAGGTATAGTCTGCATAGTCTCTGGTGAGTCCAGAAAAATAACTAGAAGCCATAGCTGTGAAAGAGGCTGATCTTTTACAATATTCCGGTGGTTAGAAACTCGTTTATTTAGGAATAGGTATCTCAGCTGAGGTCACAAGTGGGCAGCTGGCTGATACCCTCTTCATATGATGTATTCCCTGATACTTTGGCAACTGAGATCTGTCTAGGCACTTATCACTTACTGAGTTCTTGTCCTTTAGACACAAAGTATGCTTTAGTATGAAAGCACCTATACTGCAGAAAACTTCCTCCCCTATTTTTGAAGTCTACCAGTGTATTTACAGTTTGCTGATCCAAATGAGCGTGATAAGATTTTGTGTCCCCAAATAATTTTATGATACCTAATGTCAAGTAAAGACAGTGGCCACTATGATTACCCTGAAAATCACCTGTACTGTCATCTGTTAAAGTCAGCATTGATGTAGTCAGCCTGCCACTCTCTGCATCACTCACTGTGGCAGCTTCCTTGCCTGGAGAGTCAGTGCCACGTGCCAGAATTAGGCCACAGCCTAGAGACTGCATGGACCATTGAGGAAGCAGAATGCACATGCCTGTTTCTCACCAAATTAATACAACAGTATGGATTCTCCAAGTGTAGTGCTCACACTCAATTAAATGGCTGTCTTCTAGGAGTCTCAGTTATGTACTGAAAGGTAGTAAATCTAGTACTAAAGCGATTTTTCCAAAAGATAAAATGTTAGCAGCCGTGTTCATTGGTCCGGTAACAGATTTTCTTCACCTGATGTATTCCCCTTAATTATTTTTTCTTACTTTAAATCATATATACTTGTAATAATCAGAAATATCTGCCCACATTATTTGATGAGATCTGTGGATACTTTTGTAGCTGCAAAGACCTTTCAGTGACTCAGCTGATGCCAGCAGCAAACTAAATTTTGAAATTGTTCACAGTTCTAATTGTTCTGTCCAACTTTTTTCTTTCTCCATACTTCAGGACTCATCACTGCTTCTCCAGTCTACTCACAATGTGACTGTGAATGCTCGCAATTCAAACGGGGAAGTCACAGGCAGATTAAATGTGGGTAAGTCTGAGTGATTATTCCTTGTCCACTGCTTTGGAAACATTGTAGTGAATATTTGTGCAGAGATTTGAGAATATAAAGCACTAAACATGTGATTATTTATTACTATTATGGTCATATTTGAATAGTCCACCTGGCACGCAGTAAAGAGCAGCAGTATATTTTCAATTTCTCAGTTAAGCATTAATTCTTTAAATATTTGAAGCACGTCTTTATTGCAGAGTTATGCGAGAAAGGTCTCTGCAAAAGTTACCCTTTTTCCTTGTGTAAATATCTTTTGGTAGTTGAAATCAATTTCTGAGAAAATCCAATAAGAAAACATGGCTAGAGTCTCTCTTTATTATTTATCTTTATTTATTTCCTAGTATATTAGAAACTAATACAGTTTAACAGACATCCTAAAAAAGTTCAAGTTCAAAACTCGGACATTTATATCTTTTACTATCTATGGTAGCAGTAAAATACATCGGTTTACTCAGTAAAATCAATAGATCTAGACAGATGTGAGAGATCTTGGCAGCAAAAATAAACAAACCTTACTCTTAAAGTCATATTTTTAAGGCAAGAATGACAATATGTGTGAGCTATGTCAATTTTTTTCTTAGGTTTGTTACTATTTTTCAACCATTATTTGACATTGGAGAAAAATGTAACAATTTATTAACTCATTTCTTACAAGGTCCTCAGGCAGGAAAGCATGAATTCCTGCTTATTTAACTGTAGCCTAACCTGCCATGTTTAAATAGTTTACTAAATTGGGACCCAGCAGAGCATTGATGAGCAGCCTTTCCATACTGTTGAGACTGTGTAACTTCTGTGAAAACTCCTGTTTGAATAATTACCATTGCAAATCATAGAATGTTTTGCAAGCCTCAGTTTTCAAAAAAAAAGGGAAAAAGATTAAAATATATAAAGGAGCCTCTTATTCCCCTTAAAAATGTATAATTATACACTCTATCACAAGTCAGCCTTTAAATGTTTTCAAATTCCCATTTTTTAATTCAGTCGATCATAAAGATCTGAACGACTTGTCTTAAGAAAATACTCCTAAATATTTATCAAAAGTAGTGTGATAAATAGCTGTGTGGCATATTTACTTTATATGCTCAAGCCTTTCCTAAGAGTTAATACCTTCCACAATTGCCAGCATGCTGGAATTATGTCTTGAAACACTAGTCATCTTATTAATAGGACTAGTTGCATTTGTGAAGGAGTCATATAGATAAGCTTGGAATTGTTCCAGAAATGACAGTATAATATAGCATCTCCCTCAAGATTATAACAAAAATACCTTTTAACTCATGGAAATTGTGATTCAAATGATCTGTTAAAAGAATTTAATAAGTTACTAAGAATGATTTAAATACCCAATCTTCAACAGAAGTAATTCACAAGAGACATGTGAAATAAATCTTTACTTGAGTTTCTGTGAAATTCCCCCTATGAAGATAACAGGCACACATTATGCATTCCCTCATGAATCACAGATATACTCGAAAGACATAAAATGTGAGCAAACTTCCAACATGATCACTCTTGCTATAAAGCTTCTACATGCCCCTCAGTTCATCTGCATGAAATACCTCTTGGAGCAGTTGTTTGGACATTGTTTTTTGAAACAAAATGCTGTAAATGTTGAGTTTTGTACTGTGACCCATAATTACAATGCTTTCAGAAGTCTTACTAAATGCAAATACTTTAAAAATTGCTTGCCAGGAAAATGCTTTCAAAATAGTAGGGTTCATAATTTAAAAAAAACCAACCCAACTGCGTTCTTTACAGTTTTTTAATTCAGTGGCCCCCTGGATGACAAAAATACCCATTTTGTTTTAATTACTTTTTTACAAATAAACAAACAAGAACAAAACAACAAGGTATAAAAGGATATAAGAGCTTTATTTAAGGGACATAATTGCTTTGTTAATATTTCTAGGAGAAATGAAACTTCAAAGAATGTTGGCCAACAGATAGCAAGGAAGAAATCTAAGCAAGGGAATGTTCTGGCTTGGTAATCATAGGGAATTTGGAAAGTTGTGGAGAGAGTTGCTTATAGGCAAGGCAACAATGTGTACAGAACAGATGGTAAATATTTTCGTTAGAATAGCTCCTCTCCTTAAAATAATGAATAAAATTCTGGTGTCATTGTTACAGTTTGCTTATCAACCTTCAAAGCTGAAATATTTTCCAACTTGAAACTTGTCAAACTTTTTCAATAATGAGCAATGATAAATATGTATAAAAGAAACATATAGATTATATAGTCAATTATCAAATCAGTAAGAGCAACATTGGTATCAAACAGTAAATGATGTTTTACCTAAGTAAACATAGGCTTCTATGTNAGCAACATTGGTATCAAACAGTAAATGATGTTTTACCTAAGTAAACATAGGCTTCTATGTACAGGCTATCAGCAGTTGAAAATAATACAGTCAGCTTTTCCAGTTGTGTTCCAGTCATGGATAAGTCAGTGAAGAGCAGCAGGTTTTCAACTGTCACTGCTGAAAAGTAGATCCAGATTTTTAAGACATCTGTCTTTCAAGGACTGTGTAAAGAGACTTCAACCTACAGAAGATCCTAAATTCTCCTTGTAATAAGTCTTTTCTAGAAGAAAATTTTAAATAAAGTTCAAAACTTTAAAAGATAAAAGGATGTTTCCAAAAACATGAAAGGTCTGTGAGAACAGATTTCAGTAGGATGGATTGCTGATCCTCGTCCTAGTTCAATTTTTTGCACCAAGGAGTGGTGACATCAGTAGCTTCAGGTCAGGGGTTCAGTTTAAAGCGTTTAAAGCTTGTAGGAATTTATTTACATAGTTGGATTATGAAGCTGTTCTGCATTGTTAAGCATGAAATCAGCTTCACTCAGAAAGCTTGGGAATATGGTGAAAGTCAAAATGGCTTATGCAGTGTGAAAACAGAATTACAGTCAAAATTCTGCTTAGAGAGTATTTTCATGTCTATAACATTAATCTGAACAGCTGTTACAATGAGAGTATTTGTGCTATCTCTTTTCAGACTGGAACAACATTCTGAGGAAGCAGATGAGTGTCAGTACCTCATACTTTGCTTTAGCACTAATAATTGCCATTTAGAAAAACACTGCTTTCCAAAGTCAAATCATGTACGGTTTTCTTATCAGCATTTTAATTTTTCATTTTCAAGTGATGGTATTTTTTCATAAGAGGCATAGGAAGAAGAAAACAGTGCTAAGGAAGCATCATGACTCTTAAGAAGAGTTTGATCTTGTTTTCGCAGGGAAAGCCCTGAAGCCAGTTTCATAAACTTAATGACACTATAAAATCATTTAGCTTTTCCTTCTTTATTTTTTCCCAGAAGTCTTTCATTAAAAAACTCATTTTTGTCCAAATAAATTCTTTCTTATCTTTAAGATAAAAGGCAGAATGTATTACTTGAAGATCTTTGTCTGCAAGAAGATGATTATTTGCATAACTTTAATTGCTGCCCAGCTGGGCTATAAGAGAGGAAGATACAACATAGGAGCAGTTAATAGAAAGATAAATCTGAAAATTTGTTGAAGTATTTTTGAGGTGATTAAGTCTTCCTATGATCATTAATTTTCGCTATTTATTCCAAGGAGATTAAAGTAGGAATGTTTACTTGCTAAAGTATAAAAATTTTAGCTGTCAGTGAATCTGATCATATCAGGACATACATGCTAGTTTATTTTAAAGTAAAATTTGGTTAGATATATAAGACTTAGAGAATGACAGGTGGCTGCTAAAACATCCTACAGACGTTTTAACCAATTCTCCTTTTTTAAGAGAATATGCATTAAGTGCAAATGCTTTTAGTCTTTTATGAGACCATTGTGTGTTTAAATGTATATCATGTAGAAAAGAATTAAAACAAAGAGTAGAAAGCAGTAAGTCAAGATGCATTTAAATGAGAGCTAGCTAAGCAAATCAAACCGCAGTTTAATATTTAGGCTCAAATGAAAAGTGTCCTCTTCTGAAAAAAGACACCATTGATGGTCTATGCACTGTGTAGGGTAAGATGCTTACCACAGCAAGATATGCAGACCCTGTCCCCAAATAGGATAATCTTTATGAAGAAATACATGATGATGTTCACAGTCAGGCAGGCTGACTTAAGCTAGAATTAAAACATCCACTAGGAGTTAACCAGATAGTTGTTGTGAGGGTGGAGGGGCACTGGAACAGCATGCCCAGAGAACCTGTAGCTGCCCCATCCCTGCAAGTGTTCAAGTCCAGGCTTGGATGCAGCTTTGAGGAACCTGATCTAGTGGAAGGTGCCCCTTCCCATCTCGGGGGTGAAACTACACATTCTTTGAAGTCCCTTCCAACCCAGACCATTCTATGATTCTATGATAAAGTGCATTGCCAATTTGTTAAATATGACAGCATTACATTAAGGGGAAATTTAACTTGGCCCAGGCCACTTGAATCCTGTGCTGTCACTTTTCTTCTCACTGAGTCTGGAAGAGGACATAAATCTACAGAGTTTGGCTCTGAAAAAAAAAACCCAATAATATTTGGGAAAGCATTTTTTATTTGGAAAATAACCATTTGGGGAATACCTGTCTGTCCTCAGAGAGCAATTACTCACCTGAGTAGCTTCATTGTCTGTTTATTCCAATGGGAGGAAATAATTCAAAATAAGTGAAAAAGGGGGAATTATTAAAGATTTTATAACCTTCTCAACTTTGTTTCTTTAAATTTGAAATCCCAGATATATTTTGGTTACAGTAATCATTAACATAAGTAATTGGGTGGTAATTAGAAGGTAATAGTTATTGCTAAAGGTGAGGATAGTTCCTGCACCAAAAATAATTTAATTTTTGGCATCGGTTAATGCTAGATGAATTTGTAAAGGTTAGCTTCAAGTAGCAGAAATTTACTGAGACTAAGATAGAATTTGGATCATTAAGTACGTCCAAAATCCTAGTCACTTCAAATGCAACAGTAGTTTTGAACCCTCATGGCAGCTACTGCCCAAAAAAGGAGCCACACCCCTATC